TTTTATTTTATTATTTAATTTTATTATTTTATTTATTTATTTATTTTATTTTATTATTTTATTTTATATTTTATTTTATTTTATTTTATTTTATTTTATTTTATTTATATTAAATTACATTTATAAATGGATCTTCTGACACATCTGTTAAAATACCAGTCTGTTTTTTGCTAGGTCTTCAATTCGAGGTTTATCTGTAATTGATTTGCAAATAATAATTTGATTAAAACTGATTGTAATATACAACTTACAGTAGCTACTATTATAAATTGCACAGCTACGCTTGTAAATGCTTAAAAACGTAATTTTGAATGATCCTCGAAAATGGCTTTTATATGAACATTTTAAAAAATCATTTAAACATCTTCATGTGTTATTAATGTGAGATGAAACGTGTGATGCTGCTCGATAGGAAACCTTCAGCGGTTTTAATGCTATAGCTGCAGTAGACACCTGTTGATGTTTCTTTCTGTGCACAACTTTGGTTTTGCTTTGATTCATTTAGAGGGATGAGAGAAATATTGCAACATGCACCATTTTGATATTTTGCAGTTTAGTTCAGTCATCTCACACCTGTTAGTAGAACATCTACTTAAGTTCATCAGGTTATTATCAGGATTCAACAGAGCAGTTTTGAATAGCTGTGGTGATGTCAGTCCTCTCAGTTTGCAGCAGAGGGTGCTGTTTTTTCATGTTAGTGCAGGACACATTTCTGCAGCTCACTGACACATCTGCATACTGCTTACTATGTTGTGGCAAAATCTGTCTGATATACTTTGAAATATATTACGTATAATATACTGTATAAAGACTTGTGGTCACATACAGTAGTTCATTGACATTTTGCATTTTTAATGCATTTAATTTTTCATTTAATGAGAATTGTGGAAATGTGCTTAAATATAGCTGTAATGCAAAACAAACAACAACAAAAAAAGCATAATTGTCCTAAAATAGCATATAATATAATATAATATAGCCTGTCCTAATATATTTTATTGACCTAATATAGCCTGTCCTAATATATTTTAATTATTATTATTATTACTATTATTTTTATTTTGGGGTGAATATGATCCTAACATGTTTTTGACTGGTTTTGTCAAATGTATTTAATATGTGCGCTGCTTTGCAGTGTCTATATTTGTAAGTTTCTGCATCAATAGTTCCAGAATTCTGTAAATGATCTGTTCTAGGTTGTATGGATTTTTTTTCTCCTTATTGAGATGTTTTGGTTGTTCACTTTAGGCTTGGACAAGCATTTTCAAGAATGTATTGATTTGCAGATGTTTGTTTTTCACTTGGCTCTTATGGGAAATTGCTCCAACCAGTTTGTAATCTCTTTTTTGTTTTTCTAGCAGTGAACAGTGTAGGTCATTTCAAAAATAATAAATATATATATATATAAAAAATAATTAACAATCTAACCATACCCCCTTGAAAAAAGTGGTATAGTCTAAAAGACAAGTGGGCATGTCCAGGCCTGCTTTTTTAGGTAATGAATAGTCATGAGGCCAAAAAGTGGGAGGGGCAAAGATTTGTTGTTGGCTGCATCTAGAAGCTGACAGGGCAAGGAGAACTGGCGGAAAATCAGAAAAAGCGACTCAGAGTGTGTCACCTTTCCTGGAGTTGTTGTGTCAAGTTAGTTTCTCTGGGAGCGTCTAAAGTGAAGACGTGAGACGTGAAGAACTGAGAATTGCAGAACTCACCTGTGTTTTGGGTGAGGTCACATGACCAGACCAGTGGGAGAATCTCCCCTGTCTTTTGCCTGCCCAGCGGGATCGCTACGATGCTGTGTGTCGGTGACCTGCCTCGTTACTACAGCACGGTAGGTGAGCAGTTTCTGAACGATTCCATTGATTATTCAGGAGCAATATTCTTTCTGACACATCTGCATACTGCTTACTATGTTGTGGCAAAATCTGTCTGATATACTTTGAAATATATTACGTATAATATACTGTATAAAGACTTGTGGTCACATACAGTAGTTCATTGAACATGTTTTAACACTATATGGGGTAAGTTGTCACAATAAACCTGCCATTAAACACCTTATTACAGGCTTTACAGCAAAAAACATTAATAAATCACAAAAAAAATAAAATAAAAATGTAAAAGCAAAAACATTTATTGTATAATGTATGCATTTATAACTTTTAAAACGCATGTGACAATATGCCCCAAGTTGCCCAACTTTTAAAATCTGCCTTCATTATGTAGTTGAATCTGGTTTGAATGAATGTCAGTGTGGCTGTCAGTTATAGTGAAAGCATATTGACATTTCTTCATGATATGGATGTTAGTTTTAAAGGAGAATTCATTCATTATGTACAGATAGACTGAGAGAGAGAGAGAGAGAACGAGAGAGAGCGAGCGAGCGCATGTCTGTGCAAAAATGAAATGTTGAAGCATTTACTCACACACGTGTACACAACACACATACACAAACTCTCTCTTTCTCTCTCTCTCTCTCTCACACACACACACACAAAACAATGCTTCTGTTCTGTTTCAACTTGTCACAGAGCATGTTTAGACTTACTGATGAGGCACACCTGTGTGTGTGTGTGTGTGTGTGTGTG